TACATACTATTACATATCAAAATTAATTTTATACTAGAGGCAAGGTTTAAATCAATTATAATTAAAAAAAAGCTTAATTTTTTAAGGAAAATGTTACCTACTATGAAAATCGAAAAATTACTATTTTTAGGTAGCTTTACCAATAAAACGTTTATTCTATCTAAAAAGACATAATTTCTTAATCTTCTAATGAAACTTTATGGATAAATTTGTCATCAAATAAATTTTAAAAATATAGGAACACATATCAAACTAGATAAACATTTACAAAGATTTTTCAATAAACAAATCTTTTATCTTAGAAGGCCGTTTCTGAAAAACCAGTTCAACTAGTTTTAATATCTACAGTATGGATAGCTCTAAACACTAAAAATATATTTGATTTATTTAAACGATTGAAAACCACATTACAATAATAATTTAATACATTTTAATTAAACAAAATCATTCATGGATTTCAAATTAGCATACTATATTTTTTACAATATACCTATTACACTACCTAATAACCTACTAAGCTTTCCTTCCGGTTTTCCCACCATTTTTACATACTTCCAACAACTACTGACTGGTGACACGTAAAGGTCACTAAACACATGTTATTTACGCAGTTTTATACGCTTATCGATACAAATAATAATGAGTTTATTTTAAATAGAATTAGAATTTAAAATAAAATATATTTTAATGATCTGAGTTCACTGAGTCCAGCATTATAATTAACATAAGCGTAATTGATTGCAAATATTACGATTGCAAATATTTGAAGAAAAAAGTGGATACGCTATAAGTACAGTATTATATTTTGTATTCTTAAAATATTTATTTTTTATGTTTATTATAACCATATTTTTATAGACCATATATGTAACAATGAGCTGAAAATAACTGTTTTCTGATTCCTTAGAGCTATAATCATATTCTTTAATAACAAAATGTGTTTATTATTGCTTGTTGAATTCACTTTTCCTATTTTATAGTATATRAACTTAATTTGTATACAGTGCGTCCAATAAGTTTTGACAAGAARGTTACTGATGTTACAAAAAAGTTTAAAAAAATGTTTAAGCAATTTTTTATTAAAAGTAGTCACCGTTACATTCTATACACCTTCTTGCACAATCGCTCAATTTTTCAGTGGCCCGTAAAAAGTCAGCTTCAGTAATGTTCTTGAATTTTTGGGTCGTCGCTTCTTGAATCATTTTGATGGTGGCAAAATGGTACCCCTTGAGCTCCATCTTCAACTTTGGGAACAGGAAATAGTCCGGAGAACTCAAATTTGATTAATAAGTTGGGGGAGGGGGAGTACTGGAACCATTTTTTTAGCCAAAAATTGAGTGACAATCAACGCGGTGTGTGTTGGAGCGTTATAGTGCAGCAAGAAAAAATACCGATCTTTCCACAAAGCGGGCCTAACGCGTACAATCMTTTTACAGAGGCGATCCAAAATGTTTTTAGGTGTTATCATAATAACTTCGAGAATTTCATAATTATCTAGATACTAGTACTAATTTTAGCATGATTATCTCAAAACTTATGGGACGCACGTCGCACTGTGTATTGTCAACAGTTCACATTTAAAAGGATGGTGGCTCAATCTCTAGYTCCTAGCATTCTTCTTTCTAAATCAATGTGTAACAGATGYGTTAGATATAATATTCCTCCAAAATGTCTTTCTTACTACAAAAAATCCCTATCGACGACTATTTCGTTCGAGTATATGATAGTAAATACATTAAGTATTGTCGTAATAGCTAAAAACCTTGTATTTATATCTTTTTCAATAACATTTTTCCTTGTGGAATGTATGAATTATGAACATATAAATAATTATATTGAGTTCAAATAGTTTTATGTTTTTTGTRTATATTATATATTGTTGTGTAAATAAACAATACTTAATATAGGTAACATAAAATTACATTTGTACTAATAGCGTATATTTTCAGATGAAGATAATTAAAAGCAAATAATAATATTATGCTTAGATTATAGTTTGGCCTATTTAAATTAAAAATATATAGAAATGTACATAATGATTTAAATAGAATAAAATCTAAGTCTGAAGCTTTAAATATTTTGTTGGAAAAAAATATATACCTGCAAAATAATATTATTAGTCGTTAGTTTCTTTTTATCTTCTATCTGAATAATTAGTATCAATTATGTTTTTCCTGTACTAAGTTTATGTCAAAACTAGTTTTGATGATATAGGTAGTAATAATTCGAAGTTTTAAACTATCGATGTTTAACTGGTTTTAATGTAAGACTAAAAAATCACACATTATTATAGTGTCTTATTTCAATTAATTACATAAGTTATAACAAATTGTTTTCCTGAATGATAATTTAAATGGCTGTAGAGAAATTTTTATGGGTGGTTTATTGTTTAAAAAATGTATATATTTCTTTAACGACAATAACTATTACATAACTAAAAATCATATACATAATAATCACTTTTTCAGCATTTCTATGATACAATCTTATAGATAAAGTTTCAATTGTATAAAAAATATCATGTTTATGTGTATGGTAAATTTAAGTGATACTAATCCCGATAAAATTATTAAATTATAAAAATTAATAAAATCAAAATTTCTTAAAACAAAAACTGTTTATTATCATTTAAATGATTTTTTTTCGACATGGCAGTTCATAAATATCTTATTCGCATCATAAAATTAGAGTTAATTACATTTAATTAGATAACGTGTACCTAACTAAGTTAATGTATTGTTGTTGTTCATATTGTTATTACCTAAAGTTACCTATTGAAAGTTTTGCTTAAATGTAATAGTCAAATACGAATTGGAATTTTTAAAATAAGCTGTACAAATAGTTAAATTAAAAAACATAGCAAGGTAGCTATATATTAAAATACTATGATCGATATAATGTTTACAAGCTTATTAAAAAACTATTCTATGCATATAATTACATTTAAAACGTCAACACGAAATACGATTATGAAATATAATAACTTATTAATTTCATGCAATAATATGATTATACAATTTAAAAATTCTATTAGATTTCATTGCATATTCCTATACWGTAACAAATCCATGTGGCTTGAAATTTAAATAATATACGATTCAACACAATTGTATTGTTCTATGCTGTATATAATCATGAGGCTTGCAAATATAAAATAGGTACGTATAATGACTAGTAGTCCATACAGTATTAATGTATTATACTATAGGCGGATCCAGGAGGTGTGCAGGGTATGAGGTGACACCCCCTAAACGTACAAACAATTTAGTGTGGAGTTCAAACGTCGTAGGGAATGATATTGTGATTTGGCATTGTATATCATCATTATTGCGTTGTAATATTATGAATATAATAAAATATTGTATTAATTTTTTATTTAATTTTTTTTTTTTTTTTGGAAGGGGTCAAAAATATTCGCACCTCCTGAACGTGAAAGCTGGCTCCGCCTCTGTATTATACTATTATTCGATCGTATAAGTACAATAATTCAACTTTATATTAATATGCAGCAGTGCATATATTTGTCACATGTTAACTAGGTAGCTATTTGAAATGGCTTGAAATCTTTGTAACTATTTTTCAGAAATTATTATTCCATATATTTTGTAAAGAGTATTCAAAAATAACATTAAAGAAGATTCTTATAAAAGAACCTACCTATATGGTGTAGAATTTAACAGTTATTCGGTGGCAAACGCCTACGGTGATAGTGCGCTTATATTATTACAGGAAAAACAATTTGTAAAGGGTAGTAACGTCACGAACCAGGAATAAGTTATTGAGAAGCCCATCGTATACCTAGTTTACCGACGATGATTCCAATTTTAAATCGGCCACTATRAATCTATCTATATTCCATGTAACACGTGTGTACATCATATCATAATAATAGTATGTTTTATCTACGTTTAATAATTTAATATACCTTTTCAAATGATAAAATCATTATGACAGTTATTAGGTAATCAGACGAAATTTTTAAAACAAATAAGTAAAAATTTACGTAATTAGGGTTCTTCAAACTGTACATTACAAATATTCAGAAAATACCAACAACTATTATATATATGGCATTTCTGACTTATATGGTTGCAAATGAAAAGATGATTTTCATTTTTCTCCATAGTATTTAAAATGCAAAAAGCGCAGTTGTGTTCTTTTCTCCACCATTGCTGATTGTTTTGCTTATTTMATTGGTTATCGGTGATTTTCATCAATATTCATTTTTTTTTACTTATCATAATAATATATACATTATAAAGTTGATCAAAAGAAATGAAACTAATCTATAAAAAAATATACATACAAATTATGATTAAATTATCTCTCCGAGAGTTTTAATTTATCAAACTAAGTATTATTTAAATTATGTTATTATTTATTTAAAAATTAATTATGACAAAAACAAAGTACTGAAGACATTTACACGTGTGTACCTAATAATTGATAAAACAATGTATACGAGACTGAAATTTAACCTTACAACTTTGAAATAATTCGTAACATATGATGTATTTAATCATATATATATATACTAGGTAGGTACAATACTGCGATATATAGACAAACTGTATAATAACTTTATATTTACATACTATACACTCTATACCTACAAATATATATAGTATGTTGTTTTATTATTTGATACGTCATTGGTTATAAGACAAGTTAAATAGAAACACATTACTAAAATGCATTAAATCTAAGCTGGCATAAAGTTGTATAGACTTATATTCATCGGGCATGTTTTTCAAAAACAATAACAAGAAATACCGAGTTAAAAATCTAATTTTAACCTTTGATACGTTACCTCCATGGCCATATTATATACATAAACTATATTCTAGTTTTTTCAGAATTTGATCGCTGTATAACGCTATACAATAACGGGAGGAAAATAGAATAGTGCTATGGTTATTATATTATATTTTATTAACAATTACCTATAAAATTATTGGTGAATTAAATCGATGAGCGATATAGTAATATTAATAATATACCTGCGATTACAAATAAAGGTGGCGTCTTGCTGGACAGCAGGAACTGATTGTTTCACAAGTAAAATTGTCCGTCAGACAAAAAATTACAAAAAAAAAGTGAAAAGAAAAATACTAAACGCGCACCACAATAGAACCAACACATACGCGCACCACGCACTGTCCGCGGCGATAAAATATTATTAATTGTGATTATTATTATTATTATTATTACTATACGAGGGGTAGTCACCAAGGAGGAGTGGAACCACGGAGGAACTTTTGAAGATGATGACGGACAGTGGTAGACGGTAGTGCATGTACGTACGTTCGTAGTTGCGTACACGCACAACGACGTTTAGGAAACTGACCACACGAAAAATAATATTATTATTATATCAATCTCCCGGCGCGGTCTGTTGCCGCCATCGCTGCCGCTACTGCCGCTGCCGACTGATTTGGAGGTCACGCGGACGAACCGGGTTCGGGTCAATTCGATATCGCATAATAATTTATACAACAAAAAAAGTAATAATAAAAAAACACAATATACATATTACATATGTGATTATAATAATAATAACAACAACAATACTATCCCGGGTGAATGGATTTCGCGTTGAGCTTWGACTGGATGTCTGAATACCTGCAGCGTATGAATAAGATTTTCATAAATTTGCAGTGTTTACGCTCATTAAAGAGGGACGGTGATACAAGTAATAAATATAGTAGTATAATAAAATAATAGTAAGTTGTTACAAGTAATTATAATARGTAAATATATAATATTAAAAAATACATATATTAGTTATGAATTAATAGTTATTTTATTCCATTATTATTATAAATACAAATTAATGTTATCTTTCTCTGTACCTACATAGCACCCCTTCCCCCATTTTTATAATTTAACCATCAGATGTAAATCAAAGCGTCTATACAAATAAGTAATGTAACGTTTGACCGTATATTTTTATGTTTAAACGTATATTCTGTGTGCAATACACGGCAGCATCTCATAGTGGGCCCCCATCTGAAAAATCTACAATGGCATACCTATGTCATATATAAAYTGGGTGATCGGCGCTACTGCTTAGGTATAGATACACTTGTATCGACCATAAGTATACGACCTATACTCGTATAGTAACTAAGTTATTATCTGACACCAAAAAATATAAAACATTATGTATATATATATTATATAACCATTACCCATGTTAAGTTGTTGTGCGGGCTCGTCATTCAACAAATTGGTACACCTACACGTGAACCGGATAAAATTAAGATTGCATTCTAAATACGTAGTTATTAGCTCCTAATCATAATATAATAATAATAATGTATTATGCAGGCAAATAACCACCACGCGAGGAGGTACGTAATAGATACAATCGATTTTAAAGTTCGTTGTTCTGAAAATATTATTACAAGTGGGTAATATTATGCCGATTACCTATCCGAGAATACCTACGCTCCACAAACTGTCGTGTTCTCGTTTTGTTAGCAATATTACTTAAAAAAAAAAAAAATACGCACATATTAAATGAACCTACCTTAAATGAGATGTTTTACCACTCAGCGTGATTAATACCACTCCACTTCGTGTGTACATAAATTTACTGGAGGAACGTAAACCAACGGCTGACTGTACACTGTATAGGTACACACGCTAAGTGCCTACATAAAACCGTTGTTGGAAAATTGCATTACCTATATATTATACACGTCACGAATGTCCAAATTCAACAATAGCACGTTTAACCAATAGCCAATAATTCATCACACTCCCTAATATAAACAACAACAATATTTCAAGTCYGTTACTTATAACTTATTTTAATATAATTTATATTATCAAAATAGATAATAAATAATAACTAATAAGTTAGGTAGAGTACCTACACACTATGATATGCATATCACCAATGGCTGTCAAACGGTGGAAGGGGGTGGGTGTGAGAAGAATAGATCCTCACGACTTTTGTTGACGTTTAAGATCTGATAAGCATAAATTATATTATTATTATTATTATTATCAATTAGTGCATGTTAAAAAATCAGCTATACGCACCCCCTCCTCCCCCAGAAAATACATTTGATCACCAATACATATCATATACATGATATACTATAAGTACATATATATATATACTGACTTTCAAAATAGAAAGGCAGGAGTAGTCAAATTTTGAAAAATTAGATTATTTTATATTCTTTTAAATAGCAAATTGTATGTCTCTTTTATTAAGGAGATACACAGTAAAAAACCATTATTAAATTCCTTAAAAATGAAATATCTATAATAATTTTAAAATATTGTCTAAAACAGCGTTTCTCAACCAGGGGGTCGCTATCACCTTGACTTGGGGTCACGTAGGTCAAAAATAATAAAACGCTGATTTAAAATTGATATTGATAATGATAAGATATTTTTACTGTTCAAATTTTTTCCTATAAAATAGATAGAGGGGGGGTCGCGAAGTGATTGACCATATTTTATACCTATTTTGGGGGTCGTGAAACTAAAAAGGTTGAGAAACGATGGTCTAAAACTAAGTAAAAATGACATCGTGTTACTTATCCTATAAATAGTAAAGTAGCATATGCCACGGACATAATGCGTATTTTTTTTAAAGTTATCGGTTATTAGTTTATTGCTATAATTTCTCTTCACACATGCCGCGTATTTACTTAGATAATTGCTAAAATGACTTGCAGTATATATACCTACATGACATATTTTTTTAATCCCGTCTTTGTCTCTATTAAAATGCAGGTACTTAACTGTTAAATTTTATGTTAAGTCTTAACATAATAATTTTATACGAATTAATTATATAATTTTTGTTGACTGTTGCCATCTATAATATMTTTGAAACACTTAAACAAAAGCAATAAAATAATGTTAAACGGAGATACTACATTCGTAAAATCTAACTCWTTATATTGTCATAGGTACCTACTAATAAAGTAAAATGCAGAATATCCTAAAAAATCAACAACTATGTAAGTAAACATAATGAAATAAGTTTTGACCAATTTTGTCAAAATTTGAACTTAAAATGCTTATAAAAAACCCGTACTACCTATGTATCAATATTTTAAAACTGCCGTAAAAATAACTTATGAAAAACCTTGTATTAAATTTTCAAACTATATATGACTATGCAAAAAACTTTTCATCAATATTTATAGAAAAGACTGAACAGTTTAAAAATTTCAAATGTCTATAAATAGCTCAAAAAGAGTCAAAATATTTGAATATTGTACGGTGCTTAAAAATACTAATCAATGAAAAAAACATAAATCTACGGTTAGCCACRCCACTACACCAAGAAACTAAATCAATTTTGTCGAAAACCGACATTGTATATAAAAATTACGGTTTTTCCTTAGTTTTAAATTCTAATTGGAGTAATGAAAATATTATTTTTTTTGTCTGTCACTATTATAAAACAATTTTCCTTAAAGTTAAGGTGACAAAAAATTAAAGAAAAACTGAGATTTTTAAGCAAAATCAGTTTTCAAAAGAATCGATTTGGTTTTTTAGTGTAACTATAAAAAACTTTCCAATGTATATTTAAGATTAGAAAATGTTATACAACCTTCACCTTTAATTAACATTATTTAATAAAAATATCGGAAACTCAAATTAATTTTTTACGAGTGTAAAAATATTTTTTTATTCAAAAACTATTATCTGTATAGGTATTTAATTTTTATTAAAATTTATATCTTATCATTTTCTATAAATTATAAATTTTTAAAAATATTTTGACTTGTTATAAGTTATTTATTTAATTTTCTTTTTTGTAGTAAGAACATTTTTTAATTCGAATAGCTTAGAATTTAAAATTTAAAAGAACAATTCTTAAAAAATAGTTCATACTATCATCAAAATATTTTAACATCGTTATTTTTTAAGACATTTTAATTTCAAATTTGAACAAAATTATATATTAAAACTAAAAATAACAATTTTAGTTAATTTGGTGTAATTTAAAAATATTATTCGTGCGTACTTGAGACTTTAGCACATGATGAATACATTATTATTATATCGTATACACTATTCAGTATTCACTATGCACMCAATGAAATTTTCAAATGCAATTTTTTTAGAAAAAACTAAATTAATCTACTATAGTACTAATGGCTAAAAGTAAAATAAATTACTTTAATCATCACAAGACCGTCTTCCCAAAGAATCGTTTTTCATATTGTTGAATACAAGTTTAACACATCCATTACAATTTACAATGACTCTTTAGATGCCTAATCCTAGTTAGATAAACTTGAATATTATAATGTAGCTCAAAATTAAGAGTTAACACATAGACATAAATTACAATAAACAATACCTATAGTGGTAACCATTAACAAATAATATTCATACAAATATTTGAACAAATTTAATCGATTCAAATAAAATAGCTATCACAATAACGATTCTTAATAATATTATGATAATTAATTATCATTTTAAACAGATAGGTAATGTTATCGTTATGTATTCGTTTATACCAAAAATACTACATACCCATATATAATTGTATAAGATAATATTAATTTAATTTAGACATGTAAGTATGTTTAACATAATACTAGCAATAATAATAATAATGAAACTGCCTAAGTTTTAATTAATATACCATATATAGGTACCGAAACTAAAAAGTATGTAATAAAAAAGTACAAAGCCAAAAAAATACAACAGAGAAAAAAACTGATTCATATAATAATTGGGTAAAAAGAAAAACAATGTGGTGAAATATTAACATTCCTATAAGTGTTAATAAACATTTTAATTAATTGATTTACCTGACGATATCGACAATTAATCTTGTTGAAGGTTCCTATTAATATCGGCATTATTACAACTTTTTAGTATAACTACTTTCCTTGGTCTTTGAATACTGCTCGATTTTTGGGAACACGCAATATTGAATTATTGGTTTTATTTAAATTATCTAATAGTTTATCGAGTTTTACTCATCAATTCATATTTCTATTTTTATTTTTACTTTTTTTTTTATGAATATTTAATTTGAATTATTGGTAGAATATAGCTTAGTATTTATAGTAATTTTATATACCTATACATATGTAAATAATTTCTTATCTTACAAGGATAGGATGCCGAACTTTTTAGTCCACAGACTTAAAAACAATGAACTTTTTCACTGTGATTTGTTGTAACACTATATAATATGAAAGCAATAATAATATATTTCACAGATATGTTACTGCCATATCATATATCCCGAAAATAATCATTGAAAACMTCTATCATAACTTTAAATCATGAATATACATCGTCGAACCTGAAACACATAATAAGATTTCCTTTTGTGCTTGAAAAAAACAATAACAGAATGAAATCATTTCACTACTGAAATATATACTCAATAAAAAAATTATCAATATA